GGTCTCTACGTCCATCCCATGGGGAATGGGAGCAGTAACAAAGGTGTTGCGTTTATATTTTTGTTGAGTGTATGATGATCTTCATCTCGTTGTGATTATGACTATTTTGTGTTCACTCGCTGTTATTTTTGGATGTTTTTTACTTTGTTCCTTTGATGACTGTTTATAAAGAGAATTAATGAGATATGTGCTGTAGTGGAACGTAACTCGAGTACTTTACTAAAGTTTTAAAAGTTAGAATATAAAACCCCAATTAAACAATAAAATAAAATTGAATAAAACGTAAATTTGAAATAAAGAATGCAATCATTTGCAGATCTCATAAACTCGTACTTTATTCGTCCATGGGAGATGAGCAATGAAAGGCTGGGAAAGTGAGCGGTACTAAAAACACAGCTGGAGGAACATTTAGCATGTCTGTGAGTCACTGGCAATAGATCAGTAATATGTTTGGGTATAAAACAGCATTTAGGGAGGCAGAGGTTTACCTGCAACAGAAACTGCATCATAAACACGTGGAACATTTTCAGAATGTTGCTCCTGATGTAACATTTGAAAACACTGAATATCTCCTCATCTAGAATACATGATATCACTGACAGATTCTGAGAATCTGGAGAAATCTTTTTGTGTGAGGAACATTTTTTCAGTTAAACCATATGACATGTTTTCTATCTTCTACTGTACAGAAAAAATGGGTTTATTAGATCTGCAAATCATTGTATTTTACAGTTTCCCAGATTTTCTGGAACTGAGGTCATGGTTGAAGTCAAAATATTTTTATGTTGCTTTTGACTTTTCTTCCGTTATATTTTAGACGCAAATATTTTACTTTGTACTGTGCACAAAGCAGTGTGTAAGAAACGAATCTTGTAGCTGAGGATGATTTTAAAGCGATGCAGAAAAAAATGAAAGGACTGTGAAATGTGAAAATGATTGCTTTTAGCAAACGCATCAGCTGAAACCTACCAGCTGACTCTGCAGTTCTTCTCTGCAGTGATCTGTCAGACATGAAGACTGAAACACGGCCTCAGAGTCCTGAAATCAAATCTTTGGCAGAACAACAGCAGCAGACTTTTAACTTCCAGAGGTTGAAAAAAAGCTTTTTTTAAACTCTTGTTTTGAGGCACATCGAAGCATTTTTAAACCAGATGTAATTGCTGACTCTACACATGCACTCATGTCCTGTTATTTTCAATAATGATTCAAAATTAGTGTCCCTCCTACGTTGTAACCCTAACACCAAGCATCATTCAGCTGCTGCTTTTCTGCTGGGTTGTTTTTGGATGTTTTTCCTTGAGGTGACACGTCGACCTCTTTTTGTCTCCTGACTGTGTAACCAAGCAACTGGATGATATTTCAAGTAGTTTTATCTGCTTCCTCCTTTTTACCAAAACACTCAAATGAAGCCCTCTTAGCTGATGATAGATGCACGAGTCTCTTATTGAACAAGAAAAACCCCCCCCAAAAAGCAGTAACGAGACAAAGACACAGGACAGTTTTCAATTGTTGTATTTCTTAATTGTTACAAATGAACAAACTTGACGCGAGAGCAGGGACGTGTTTGTAGTGTCGCTCTCTGCTCACAGGTGAAATACTGCTCCTTAACATTTTATCCATCAAAACAATAAATAACAATCTGCAGTTTTCCTTTAAGGTGAGCTAAATAAAACAAAGCACGTCCTTCGTTCTGCCTCGTATACTGGACCTGCAGACCAGCGTGCTCTGCTCCAGTCATGTGTCTGTGACTTCACTGGTTACTCGTGTATTGGCGTGCACGTCTGGCTGCTTGCTACACATGAAATAAACGGTGACATCACACACACACACACACACACACACACACACACACACACACACACACACACACACACACACACACCGAGGAGCTGGAATGCTAAAACATGGAAAAAACACACAACCCAAAAATCCTCCTGCAGGCCGACTGACCGTCCTCGGGATCACACATCCTGACCTTACAACCTTACTTCCCATGAAAAAGCTTCTGCTAAACACAAATTTTGATTTAATGAAAGAAAAAAAAAAACTGGGCCGTTTAAATGAGAGTGATAAAGCGAGCGAACAGCCAGACGTCAGCTCCTTCATCTTCAATCTGATGGATTCTGGATGACGATGAGGAAAAAGTCTTTATCTGTTAAGAAAAAGGCAAAAAAATTAAATGACTTCAGGAACAAAAGCATCTTAAATGTTCACATCCAGCCTTTTTAGCCAGGAAATAATCTGAATAATGGGCATTTTAATATTTTAAAATGTAGAGTTTTAATAAAAACAGCTGATCTCGGGTTTTACTAAACTGCTGCTGCAGCTGTAAAATAATCTTCAGGGCCAGATGCTGACCTCTCTGGACTTGAGAAGTTTAGAAAAAAATCCTGCCCATTTCTGGTTCACATGGCAGGTGGCAAAACACAATTCTTATGGAAAGTTATGTAAACAGATAAAAGGCATCATTTGAATGCCCGACTTTCCCCCAGAGGAGGAAACTTGTTTCCCAAAAGCAGCGACTGCAGGGCTGAAAGATGAAACCGACACTGAAGAGCCACAAACTGCAGCTCACGTCCACCAGAGGCTCCAGCATTGAGTCATCCCGATACGAAAACCACCTCTATGGATAACTGTGGATTATAACAGCTGAACGGGGGCTGAATCTTTCTTAAAACACTTCCATTTGGACACCAGTAAGACTCAAAATTAGGGCTGTGGCCTCTTTGACAGACAGGTAGATGGTGGCTGTCTGCTAGGCTTCAGCTCAGCTAATGGGAGCGTGTTTGAGCCTTTTGAAGCATTTATAAGTCAGGTTAACTGGAATAACAGCGTTTCGTTTTTGGTGAATGGAATTCATTTAGCAGTAATTCCCAGCAGATGCTCTCACCTGGAGCGATCATGATCTCGTTCTTCTTGGAGCGCACGCGCATGAAGGTGAGGTCGTTCTGGGGGTCGATGTCTCGGATGGTGCTCCTGGCCTTCATCACCAGCTGGTGGATCAGCCCGGCGTACTGCACCGTGCTCGAGTTGTCCAGAGTCGACTTGATGGGGATTCCTGAAGGGAAAACATTTATGAGATGGACAATCACACGTGGACCCAGTAACCACATCACACCTTATTTTACTGGTTCTCTGCTGCTGAAACTGAAGCGTGACAGTAAAATAGATCTCAATTACTCAAAAAAACCCAAAAAAACGTAATTAAAAATGGGACGAAGAAGGAAAATACTTCTGTCTTCGGTAACATTTTGTCCTGTCAAGTTACAGGTAAAGTATTTAAATTCATAATTTGATGGGATTCCAGCTTTATTATGTACCAAGGAAAATGTAAGTGTGGTAAATTAAAGGAACAGGGGTGAATAAAAACCAGCAGACAAAAACAAACATCATCAATAATAACGTCATTTCACAGAGTGAAAAACCTGCATGTGAAAGTTCATGTATGAAACAAGCATTCCTGGATTTTATGGGATTATCACAGCTCGAAGGATTGTTTTCCACGAATGACAATTATGTTTTCCTTATGAACTAAATGTTGTTTAACTTGTTATTGATCAGGTAGTGAAACAATAATCAATATGTGGAAGGTTTTTTTTAGTATTTAATAAGAGACAAGATTTAAGTCATTCGTGAAGATGAGTGAATGCTGCTGCAGCACTAAGGATGCTTCTCGGGTTTATTTTGCACTCTATGTGATGATTACTGTAGTGTCTGCAGACGTTGTGATATTATTATCAACATACTTTAGGTTGTGCTGCTTTTAACATATGAAGGCAGTTTGTTCAGGACAGAGCAGTGCACCATGTTTCAAGGTGCTGAGAACATTATTTAAATGTTTGAATTGAGTCTTTTACTCATCAGTGTGATAAAATCAGTCCCAGAAAGGTCTCTGCCAGTGGCTTCTGTCTCCATGCTGGGGGTCTCGGTCTGTGAGGGAGTTTCCTCCTCCTCACTTTGTTTCTTTCACTGTTCACTTCTGTTTTCTTGGGTTTGTATAAACTGATCATGAATCGGCCTCCCACACACGGCAGTGTGCAGTGTTTTAGCTTACAGCTGTGAGATTGCTCCTTTTTATCTCTACAGCCTACATGTGTTTGCTCAGCACAAACAGGTCATGTGACGGCATAACAACAAAACACAATGAGACAGAGAGGAGGAGGAAGAGGAGGAGCAGGAGGACCCTGTTTGTAAAGGGATGTCTACTTTCTGAGGAAGCACTCTGAAACTAAGTATCACGATCTGATACTGACACTGGTACCGATATATCAATATTTGGATCGATCCAGGGTCAGTCGGCTGTTTCAGGTGTAACGGGAGGGGAGGAGCCAGAGATAACACGTGCAGGGAGCAGGTTAAGACAGGGTCACACGGTCTGTTACCATGGTAACCGATTAGGGAAGGATCACAGTGTCTTATCGTGGTAACCGAGTATAAATTTAAGTTAGGTTTTAATTTTCCCGATAGAGACCTAAAGTTTGCCTCAGTTTTAACAAACCCAGAGTTTATTAAACCTGAGTTCTGGATCAGACCCCGGAGGACTTACTAAACACACGGTGGCAGTCACAATAAGAAACACGCAAAGAGCGGAAAGGTCTTTAAAAGAGGGGATGAAATGACATCATTGTCGTCTCACCCTCTGAATTGGCGACGATGATTCCCTGAACCCCTTTCTGGCCCTGAATCCTCTTCAGGGTTTCTTCTACTTCAGCCTGAGGGACGGAGACAACAGTGATCAGTCATTTCATGTGAGCTGATAAACGGATTTAAATCGTTTAACACCGCAACAAACACAGAATGAAAATAATCTCCCAGCGAGCGCGTTTAAAGGTAACACAAAGGGAGAAACGGTTAAAAATAAACCGACAACGCCCGACTAGCAAAAGGAAGCTAGCTTCAGTTAGCAATTTATTAAATTCCGTCCTGTAAAACTGATAAATTACAGTATGATGGCCAAATATGTGAACAGTTTCACCAGATACTTGTCAAACTGTCCTCTTATCCTACCATTTTCGTTTTTTTGTGGAGAAATTCGTGCCAAAAACCCTCTCAAAGCTCTGCAAACTAGCAGGCAGCACTCCGGTTTTGTTGACGGCAAGCGAAGAAGAAGAACCTCCGGGGCAACTGCTACGTTTACTGTCCAAACCGAAGAGTCGGATTTCTCAACTATATTTTTCACGGGCTCTTTTATTCCATTTCGCCTCGATAAATTCCATTTTTAAGCCCTTGTTTTTCTTTGTCATATAAAAATAACATTAAAAAAGTGGGACGGTCTGCATCGATACCATAAAAAAATCACACTGTTTAGTCACTTCGGTTAAAAACATAGCATGTGATTTCAAAGTACCGGGGCATCCCAGGTTAGATAAAACCGTAAAGTCACGCGGTTCTGATGACTCTGGTTAAGAAATACAGACAAGATAAAGCCTCTAATTCAAAATCATAATACAATAAAACAACAGAATAACTGTGATAATAAACTAACGAAACTAAACGCATTCGCAGTGCAGAAATGTCCCGTGTGAGAGACATGTTACTGATTTATTTCTAATTAATTAAATAATTGTTACCGTACTGTAGTTCAGTGCTAAAAAAACAAAAAACAGAAAAGGAGAAACATAGGTTATAGAATTGTACTGTACTCATATTTTTCTCACTTATTTTCATTAATTTAATCTCAGAGCGTCAGATTTAGTAAAGTTTAAACAGCAGATGATAATAAGCTGATAATAAGAAGAAGATAATAAACACATTAAATATTATATCATATATACTGCATATACAGTATTTTAGAGCGCTTTATAAACATGGGTTTAAAATGTATTAATTAATAAAGTAAAACTTGCACTTTAGTTTTTAATGTGGTAAAAACTACATATTCATATCCCTGTAAAATGTCGTGCAGTTCAACAAAAAAAGTATAATCTAGTAGGAAAACTCTGGAAAACTCTTTTATTCTATTTTATTTATTTATTTCTGAATGGTTTGCATATCATTGGTGGGCGCGGCCACCCTGTTTACAAAATGACAGCGTAAAGTGAGACCTGAGCAGCCAAGACTGGACCGGAAGCTCACAGAAGTAAAACGAACAGGAACGCGATGGACGAGAGTTTTAGTAGAAAATGAGAAAATGAACTTTAAAAAGACTTTTTGAGACCTTTGGAGCAAAGTCATCAAACACTTTAAGCATTTTCAACAGATTTGACTGGTGTTGTTATTCATGCCTTTATATAAAACAGCAGATCACTATTATTATAAAACTAACTAGATAAATAAAGATAGATGTGGAAAACATTTTTATAACCAAAAACGATTTTGTGACGTATGCTCTCCATACAATAAAACCCACAAAGTTTAAAAGTGACACTGGAGCCAATAAAACGGAACTAAAACGAAACAGTTCAGACAATAAAAACTAAACGGAAACAATGAAATTTAACTGAAACTAAACCGACTTTAAAGAAAAGTGAAAACATAATAAAAACACTGAAATTATGAAAAGAAACACCTCTAATAAATCCGGCTGTAGTTCACACACTGAGCGCACACCTCACAGGAAACGTGACACACTGTATCCCACACAGAAGCTTTTCTCTTTGAAAACTGTAACCGGAAGTTGTGGTATATTGTTACCGTGACCGCGCGCGACTTGTTGTTAGGCGCTTCATTCACGTTTAACGACCGTGAGCAGCGGAGGAATGGACGAGAAAGAAGAAGATGTGGGTGAGCATGTTCAAAGGGAGCAGAGAGCTGCTTTTGTTCCAGCGCTCTGCTCCTCTTCAGCTCTTTGTGGTCTTTAAAGTTGTCAGGAGCGTCTGCAGGCTGAGAGCTCTGTGTTTCAGGAGCTCATGATTACCCAGACCTCTGCACACTCACCGCAGTCTGCTCATTATCAGGGTTTGAAGATGCACTTGGACAACTCACGATAATCCAAATCTTACAGTATTATCGCGATAAAAGTAGAAAACAAATTACAAAACAAAACAATGCATCGTGTCTGATTCGTGTAAAAGTTTTACTGGGAGATGAAAAATGTAAACAGGAGCACTGGGAGTGTTGGGGAGGAGAGAGGTGGAAAAGCCAGAGGCTTCCTTTCTGCTGCAGCGTTGGTGTCCGTCTGTAGAGAGGTGCGCCCCTACTGTACTCCAAAATCCCAACCACATGGTGCTCGACATGGATGACACTGTGTGCTGATTGGCTGATAAGTGGGCAGAACAGGGAAGTGAGAGACAGTGGAGTTAACCAGCAACGGGAGAAGAAAGATCTCAGATAAAAAGAACACACAGCAGGATGGCTGACAGCGGCTTTCGTTTGAACAACCAGCTTCACTCCAGCTGACTGATGGTCCATCAGCAGCTCAAGCAGCACATATTTCTGACACTACCTCCATCAATGACGGATGCGGAGAGTCCAATGCTACCCAAGGACAGCCCATAACCTCCCATAAATGACTCGTATCTATTGGCTCGATAGATGATTGAGCTGGAAAGGATGTGCAGCAGGTGAGGGTGATAACAGACTGAGCGTGTTGAAGAAAATCAGGAGGGAAGATAGTAAATTTGGAAGTGTTAGTAAAACTCTGAATTAATAAGGAGGAAGTGAGGGCAGCTATGAAGAAGAAGAGTGGAAGGGTGGTTGGTCCATACAACATACCTGCAGAGGTATGGAGATGTCTAGGAGAGAGGGCAGAAACAGAAAGTTTCTGTTATTCTAATTTAAAGTATTTAAGTGCTTTAAATTAGAATATGTTGTGACACGGTAATAGACTGTTCTGTGGACGGTTCTAAAACTAGATGAACTTCAGCCTCCAGTTGGAGAAGACAACTCCCTTTACAGGTGCTGATAACGCCAAGGGCACAAAACAGCGTGGTATGATCAGTCTGTAACTTCCTCCCTCTTCCTTGGAATACATAAAGCAGTGGGAGCACCACTTCTGTTTCAGAACGCTCATCACTATGAACCTGTGATGTTTTGATGTCTGTGGGATTACATCAGGATCTCAGCCCCTTCTTGTTCGCAGTGATGATGGACAGGCTGACAGATGGAGTCAGGCAAATTAAAGAATTAAATAAATAAAAATAAATATGGTCATATTTTAATTTTTAATTACTTCAGGTTGTTGTGTCAGATTACCACATGGACCTTTAGATTAGGTTTTGGATTAGATGTTGATGTTGCTGTGTGTCGCAGCTATAAAATGTTCCTGGTGCATGTTGTTGTGCCATCAAACTATTTGCACGAGTATGACACTGTTATCATATGTATAGGGCCCGTGGTCATAACCATACATCCATGATAACACTGTTAAAAAAGACACAAAGTATCAAAAGTAAAAGTTCTAAAATACAAAAATAAATGTAGTAAATGCAGGAAATTAGGAAACTAAACTGCTTTTCATCAAAGGGTTTAAAATGAAAAATCATGTAAGGATGGTCATAAAAACAAAGAAAGATCTGTCATTATTATAACCATCGAAAAAGTGTTGTTTTGCTTGCTCCTACGTGACTACCAACGACTGGAGCAAAGGTCACGCAGGCCTGCAGGTTTTAGATCTCACCGTGGGTCAACACACCTGAATCACATGATTAGTTCGTTACCAGGCCTCTGGAGGACTGCAGGAGCTAATTTAGCCGTTTAAATCAGCTGTGTTGGTTCAAGGACACATCTAAAACCTGCAGGGACACCGGCCCTCGAGGCCTGGAGTTGCCCACGCCTGATTTATAGTTTAATGCACTAGTTAGTATCATATTCAGATGTTGTAGTTTGTCATAGTAATTGGTGCAATATTTTGTGAGTTGATGTGCAGTGTGTGCATTTGTTTAACATGTGATCCCATGTACTGATTTGTATAGTGGACAGTACAATGTGGAATAAAAGGAGCAAATGGTACAGAAGTGCATCTCATGTGTTTATTGTTGCGCGTCATCGGTGTCCTCATGTTAAGCCTGCCGCGGTCGTTGGTTGGAGGAGCCGCAGCAACACCTTTGGAAACGTGTGATCTCCATGTGGTTGCCCAGTAGTTGCTGCAGGTTCTTGGCAGTTGCCAGGTCATTTGGTTGCAAAGAGCGTGATGAGGTGTAGACCCCAACTGGTCTCCTTGTTATAACTGCTAGTCAAGCCATAGTAAAAGCCTGACGTGAGCCTTCAACATAAAGGTTTTTCATCTGTGCTGTAGCCAACATGCTTTGAAAGGCAAACTTTTATTTTGAAGGTGAACCCTCCCTTGCACTGACTGGTCTCTTAGTGGATGCGAGTGATGTTTTATCAGTGTACTTCACAGTGACCACCGTCAACCTCCAGCAACCACTTTCAGTCGGATGGGGAGTACGTGTTTTTTCCTGTTAGATGGTTGCAGATGGTCTCTATTGCTGCTTATTGACCTGCAGTTATCAAGACGTCCTACCTACACAGGAGTCTGGCAACAAGGCATAGGTTGCACAGCCAGTATAGTAACTGAATGCTTTTGGCATTTAACTGGAGAAAACGTCCAAGTTTTTGAAGCTTGTTTTGCGTCTCTAGTTTGGCTAACATTCTGCTACGTCAATGTGACAACATGTAAAATATGACCAGGCAAAAGGTTTTGGTCACAGCCTTGGTCAGGCATCATTAAACCAGCTGTAATAATGGAGCCTTTCAATCTGTGTGTGGGAGGTGTCGGATGGTGTGAGGAGGCCACGCTGAGCGGCGCCGTGTCACGAGACGCGCAGTGATTACGTCTCGGTGTTTATCTCACTCTGAGTGAGTTCATCTGTCTGCCAAAACCAGTTTCACTTTATCAGATTTACGAACCTAAACAAATTTTAATGAACCAAGCCGAACTGGTGAGCACGGCGCAGTGTGGTATTCACATAGCTGAAGATAAACACGAGCTTCAGATCATTTAAATGATCATTAAAACACCAAATAAAGCATGTAGTAACTTTACTTTTGGTTCTGTGTGTGTTTCTGCACCAAAGACAGATTGACTGTTTGCTAAACGTCGCCCTGAGACCAGCTGTGTGTCTTTGACGGACGATGTCACGCTGGGAGCGTTTGGAAGTGGAGCATTTATCGCCTCTGAAGAGTTCATTACCAGAGCTCATTATTTAGGCCTGCAACATTGTAACAGTTTAAACCGTATACGACAGACAGTAGGGAAA